CAAAAGAAACGATAAAACAATGTTACCTTAAAGATATGAAGAAATAATATGAAAAAATAATATGAAAAAAATAATATGTATCAAATGATTGAACTAATCAATAGCAATATCTATATTTTTGTTAATTATAGTTTGCATCTATTCAGTTTCGAAGGTGGTATTAATCTGTGTCGTTGGTCATCGAGGTTTTTGTATTCCTTGCACGAATGGCCAAGTCTGATGAGAACAAAGCTTCATTTCTCATGAAACGATAATCGTTAACCAAAATCAAAAAAAAATTGTGAAATGTTAAAAAAGACCATATCACTGTCATGTTTTCTACGAATTTAGATAATTTGTAGATTTTAAATAGAATTTCTGTTTAATAGACAATGTGACAATGTGTTATTTTCCTGTGATTTATACGTCTGGACGTAAATGCATTCAGAATCATTTTAATCTATTACTTTTTGTAGAAAATGTCTTCAAGGATTCACTCTATTCAAGATGTTGATATAAACATATATGATAATCTTTCAATCTTGAAGACAGTTAGGATGTTTTCCTTTACCGTCCATAACTTGCTCAATCAAACCGAGACTTGTTGTCTTGTTGAGCTTTCTTTAAAGAGTCTTTATTTCTTTCTTTTTTGATACTAGATGGTTTCTTTGCTACAAGTTTAAATGATAAATAGTAAAGTACACATCAGTTTATTCAGAGTCATGTTTTTATTTTTACAACAGTAATATAACAGCTAATTTTGAAAGATAATTGTTTTACAGAAAAAAACTTCCCCGACGGGAATTGGATCCAGGTCTCCGACGTGACAGGCGAGATACTCACCACTATACATTAAGCATAATACTTCAAAACTTTAAAGCATAAGCAAAATACATTGCCAAACAAGCTAGTTCTAATATTTTTAATTGACCTTTGGCATTTTGTGACCTTGACCTACATTTTGCGCAAGACAACTCAACTCAAGTTATATTAAAATGCATGCATGTATATGGAAATTATACTCGCGAATGAATGTTTTAGGTTGTTATTTGACATTTGATCTTTAAGTGTGACATTGACCTTTGCCACAGACACCTGAATTTTTCACGCGACACTCCGCCTCACTTTGGAAAACATTTTGCTAAAATTATATCAAAATTCCGCCATGCATGTAGAAGACGGGGGTCTTCACCTGCACTTGCTATATACCGAGTTTGATTAAAATATCTCATTTCAAATTCTAGTTATTGACCGGAAACAGATTTTCTATTTTTGTGGCCTTGACCTCAGGGGCCAAAAAGCAATCCCAAACGATGTCTTTACTAAAACTTGTTATACAGCAAGTTTTATCCATATTCTAGTTATTGTCCGGAAACCGATTTTTATTTGAAGTAACAGTGACCTTTATTTTGACACTAGGAGGCACAAAGATCCCAAACGAGGTCTTCGCATAAGTTTATACACCAAGAACGTTAGAATTAAAGTTAGAAATCTAAACAACAGGCAGATGGTCACATATCCAGCCACCCAGCAATGCATGAGCATTGTTGGTTGTCACTGATGCAGATGGGGGAAAAGAGCGGTAAACCAACATACAGTCGCTTGTCACCACAACTGGTAAACACAAGGATACAGACCTTTTGTTTTATGGATTAAAAAAATGAATCTCCTCGTGATGGACTACATGCTTTAAATGTTAGATGAGAAGCAAACATCTTTCCTCAGAAGATAACATTGATCAAAAGGAACAATTTTCACGAACGTTGACATCCTTAACAAAGAAGAAATGAGCCAATTTGCCAAGGCAAACAGTTCAAGGAGTTGAAGATCTTAACAACTATCACGTGTTAGGAAAAACTGAAATTATTTTGGTGTACTTCATGTATGATTTTATATTGTCATGTAAAATATACTCGGAAACATGAACCCACTGCAGTGAAAGTGTTTATGTTTAGTTTCAGGAAAAATAACACTTTTTTATCGACAAAATAGAACAAATCATATCATTTTCGATAATCTGATATATGTCTTCCGAAACACTGGCAACATGTTTGTTTTGTACACTTTCCTGTTCGTACCACTCATATTACATCTTTAAACCGTCCTTTATATTCGCGGTCATATTGCAGCTATTGAACTTTTGTCAATTATGTTCGTGATATTCAACTAAAAACGAACTTCGCATAAAGTTGAAAGTAAATTCCTGCAATATGTTTCATATAAATATAAAATTTGTTATTAAGTATAGTCATATTATTTGTTATTTCAAGATAATATAATTTCAATGTTTTGCATTCATACTTGTTTGATTTCTGACTTAAGAATGTGAGGTTCAACCTAAAATACCATCGTTGAATTATACGAATTTATTACAAATTCTGGTAAAAGAACTTAAAAATATTAAACTGTCCATTTTAAAATGAATTTTCAATGAGCATATTGTTTCTTTGAGAAGAATGTTTTGTTGATTTTGTTTTTCAAAATAATGGTAGGAAGTTAATTTAATTAGAATTATCATTGCTAGGTTCCTTACATAAACTGCTAATATCGCCCATGTCTGCTGAACAAGATGGCTACCAGAGCTGAAAATTAGCTGTAAATAATATATCCTCTTCAACCGGTGGACACATTTGGATGCAAATAATGAAATCGTGTTCATGTAGACCATGTCCACTTGTTCATATATTTATAACAGGTGTTCATAATTGAATGAGCATATTATATAAATAAACATGTTAATAGAACTGTTAGTCCTGTGAGGATAAAGGAATACTTTTTTTGAACCATAATTCTCTCAATTTTTAAAGCTTTTTATCTGAATATATGGAACATTGTATATTCATATATTAAAAGTTGAATCAGATATGAAATATATACTTTGTAACATTTTCATTCTATCATTAGATTCAGCTTAGAACAACAGACTTTCCCCAAGATTTTGTGTTTCACAATATGTAATAGGAAATTCTGTTACTTTAATCGTAGTTATTAGAAATAGAAGACTGTATAACTTCGTTAAAATAGATAATAAATGAAATTGAGTGGTAGTATTGTCCCTCTCAAGAGACAAATATACGAAATGGTGGCAACAGTCACATTTTACATGTGTTAATGACTGTTATTCATAATGTTGCGTTAAACGAACTCATGTTGACATTTAGCTTATTGCAAAATATGGTCATTTGCTAAATCAGGCACACTTTTCTAACCAAAACACATCATTATCTGCAAAAGTTAAGATCATTTCAGTGTTGATAAAATTAAGATGATGATATGTTTTCTATTTTGATTCATTTAACCTCGTAATCATTAGAAACTAACTGTAGAACATGGTTAAACACTGTAAATTGGTTTAGATAAAATATTTTCAGAACGCAAGAAACAAATTGAACTATTTCCGATGATAAGGCAATGTACTAGTACGGGAACCGAATATTCTATCTTTAGTTTATATAAAAATAAAGCAATTGCAAATGAATAAACACATGAATAAGATTTGTTTCTTAAATCATACTGATAATGTTTAAGTATGTTTAAGGCTGAAATGTATTTTTTTTGTTTTGACTGTCTTCAGTGAGTGTTGATTTATTATCACGTTTAGGATGTTTGAATTTAACTTTCAGCAGCTGTCCATGATAAGCAGCCTTTATAACCTTTCAAATCATACTATTAGTTCCGCCCATTTTTTTCTCATTTAAGGGGCAAGGATTTTTTTTTGGGGGGGGGGGGGGGGGCTATTCGCTACTTTCCATGAAATGGTTCGATGATAATTGATAATTGCTGTTGAACATTTCATATCCGCTGATTTTTATATTCAAAATCTCACCATTTTCATGTTAAAATGTAAAATTATGCTGGTGCCTTGGACTGTAGCTTGCATTTGTCTTAACCGTCGATGAATAAGTTCAATCTAACCACCTTTTTAGTTCAGTTTTTGGCGTTTTTTAAGGGTTTCATATTTTTTTTTATTGTGCTCAAACCACCTCTTCAGTTTTTAGGCGTTTTAAAAGATTCCACATTTCTTTCTACCATGGATTGCTAAACGATATTTTATTTAAATTTACGCCATTCATTTTCGATTCAAAATTTTTAACTCTTTTATGTTTTGTAATATTTATATAAATTTGTTAAAATTTATTGGCACGTATGAGCATTGTTGATAGTTAGAATGTCGATAGCGGTCAATTATCTTCCTTTATTGCTTCTTGACCAATCCTTACATAAGAAAAAATATATGTAATACATGTAATACTTTTTAGTGTTTACGATAAAAGTATTTAAAGTTTACAACTTTAATCACTGCTTTTGGTTTTGATCTAATCTTAATAACTATTATCAAAATAATGCTGCACGGTTGTAATTTTCATTTCAATGGAAAGTCATGACTTATAATTTTTTTCTACACACAGCTATTTTAATGAAAATACAAATATTAGCATGTTCAGCGTGATTGCTGAGTACATTCTAATCCTAAGAGTCATGAAAAACACTCTATCCTTAAATCGTAATTTGATTCATATAAAGAAACTTATACTATGCTACTGAATGTTGACATATATTGCTTAAACCACCGTAAACAAAATTTATTTACCAGGGAATACTTAACGATGACATGTTAGTTGTTTTTTGTGCGTGGGAGGGGGGGGGGTACATTTCTTTAATTTATTGAATCCATAGAGCGTTTCTAAGTAACTGCGTTTTAAGACCATTTTACTTTAATTTCAAACTAAACATCAAATATATGATGTGTGTGTTTAGTAAATAGGTAGTTTAATTCACTAAATTGCAGGATTGTTTAAAAGAAATTATAAGGCAACTAACGATTCAGTGAACAGCATTCGCGTTCCGTAAAAATCAAATTCTATAAATTTCAAAAGAAGTCTTTGAGTATATTACATGTAAAAGATAAAAAAAGGAATAAGCTTTACAATGTATATTAAACCAATGAGAACTATGTCAGGTTATTAGTGTAATTGCAACTGTTGTTCTTGGAACAAGGGTCAAGAAAATAGACATATAAATTGTGTTCGAAAAATGTATTTTCATCAATTATTGTATTTTCCCCAACAAAAGAAATGACAAACAATGTTACCTTACAGATATGAGAAAATATAAGATGTATCAAAATGATTGATTTAAAAAATGATTTAACTAATCAATAGCAATATGTATATTTTTGTTGATTTAAGTTGTCAAAAAGGCCTTTTTGTTTCAAAACTGTACAAGACATGCCATGCAATATATACAATGTTTGCATCTATTCAGTATCGACGGTGGTATTAATCTGTTTCGTTGCCGAACACGAAGTCATCGAGTTTCTTGTAGTTCTTGCATGAATGGCCGAGCCTGATGAGACCAAAGCTCATTTCAGATTTTTGTTCGGCCATACATATATTGTTGGCGCAATCCATCATCTGTGCATCCTGAAATGATAGAATAATCATTTAGGAAAATTATAAAATTTACGTCAAAAGACTAAATTTACGATGCCACTGTCATGTTTTCTACTGATTTAAATAATTTGCAGATTTTAAATAGAATTTCTGTTCAATGGACAATGTGACATTGTACTTTTTTCTCCTTGATTTATATGTCTGGACGTAAATGCATTCAGCATCATTTTAATCTATAGTAACTACTGGTAGAAAATGTCTTCAAGGATTTACTCTTTTCAAGACGTTGATGTAAACATATATGATAATCTTTTAATCAATCTTGAAGACAACTAAGATATTATAAAGAGGTTCCTAATGGGATTGACATGAGCTTATTGGAGTATTAGCGGGAATCCAATTCGGAGCCTAATCTGAGAAAGAAAACTTCACTTAAATGTTCCGTTCTAAATGTTTATCGTAAAATACTTTTGCTCCAGGAGTGTTTTAATCTTAATGTCCTAAAACGGTAAATATCATGAATGGAACGATGTAATATTCGGCAAATATTTCCTTGGTCTTTGGTTGGTATGAACAAAAGGGATCAGAAGAACAGAATACAAATGTAAATAAATTTTAAAAAAGATGGTTAGTGTTTTTTTTGCAAAACTTAGCACCTGGGACCAAAATGAAAGATGACGCTCGATATTGACGATCTTAATTTACTTTACTTTTCCTGAACCAAGAAATTTATATAATGCCTGTGACAATAATGTTGAATTCTATGTTGTGTTTGTTTGTTTGTTTCATTTTACGCCTTTTCCCAACAGTATTTCAATCATATAGGCGGGTAGTTTCCTAACCATCGTTCCTGGAGAGTTACACCAGTACTAGACTACCTTCCTCCGCGCTAAACTACCAAAGCATCTCCCAGAGATCGAACCCACGCCAGAGAGGTAACTGGATTAGACGTCATCGACTCTAACCCCACGACCACGGAGGCGGTTATGTAAAATGTTAAAAGATAATTTAGACAGTAAATATACACTCACCATGCTATCAAAACATATGTTGCACATAAATAGGCAAATATCTGTTGGCGAGAAGTGATTCAAAGAAAATCGAGGATAGACTGGCGTTGACAATACAAGTCCTGTTGTCAAAAGACAAGCGCAGAAGACGGCAATAATTTTGGAATCCATTGTTTCTGAAATGAACAAACGATTTTTCATGAATTGGTAAGCAATATAAAGATTTTTGAAGTGAATAAACATTTAAGAATATATAGCCTGTATTCCATTCATACGTGAGCGCAACGTGAACGAAATGCGTGAGCATGAAGAGTGATTTTTTACGGACACACTATTTCATTACGTTTGCGTTTTACGTTTGCGTATAGATGGTATACCGACCTAAAGTTATAATTAATGAAATATTTTACAAGATTTACAAAAGGTTTAATTATGTTGTTTACAAATGTATATGATTTCATGGTCGATTTCCGGAAGATTTCTTAAACAGAATACAGCTGTTATTTTATCACGTATAGATATTGTAAACAAAATAAAAAGTTCCGGGACAAAAAGTCACTTTAACCATTTTGCATTGATTTTGTTAATTCTTATGATAGAATGCGACAGTATTTTTCTGTCGGAAAGAGAATTTTTGAATTCTTCTTTTTAAAAAATATTTTTTTTAAACTAAAAAGAGAAGATAACTAGACTTATACACTTAAACGGAAAAAATAAAGCAAACATATGATTTATTTGTTCTAGCGCATTTAAATGTAATTTTAACGATACTATTTGAAAAATACTTTAAATTTTGTAATAATATCAGTGTTACATGTCCTTTATTCGTCAACGTGTTTTTTTTAATTGATAACAGTTGTATTTATAACGATTCTAGAAGGACCAGACTTTACTAATATAATTATTTGTATATTAACTGTTAGATATAAGTTAACATTGATATAAGTTAACATTGATATAAGTTAACATTGATATAAGTTAACATTGATATAAGTTAACATTGAGGAGACATGCACATGGATTTTTATTGCATCTTATTATTTTTGTTCTTTTTGTTTATTACATGTAAACTCTTTACGAAGTCTTGTACTTTTGGTACGTTTTTACTGCTTAAGTGATTTATAGCGGTCTGTGCATAAAGACAATTTTACAGTTTACAGTAATGATCACTCGACAAACTACACGTAGCTTTTTATAGCAATGTCAAGTGAAAAAACAGGTATATTAAAGAAGTCTAAAAACAGCTTTATTATATCATAAAACTATTTAGTACCTTCCATATTTATAAATTGTTTGACTAATACAGAAAATGAAAATAGGATTAAACAATATTTGTTTGTTAATAATTGAATTATTTATAATTTCGGTTGGAGCAAATTTAAATTTTGACAAAAAATAGTAATAAATTAAAATTTGGGTTATTATGTTTTGCTAAAATTTTTTTAAATTCCACCCGGTTTGGGGGCAAAAAAAGTTAAAAATTTTGGCATTCGTTTGCATGATACTGACTATCTTTGCTTATCTTATTTTCAAACTTATATATATCTAAATAATTTGAAAAGCCTTTTCCCAGTACACCTTATCTGAATCCATCCTAAACACTGTCACAATCATGTTAATTATCTCAATTTATTTGATTTTTTTACCTAGAAAAACGCTAGACATGTGTCTCCGTTTTAGATATAAAAGGTGTACACGTTTTCCGTTAAAATATAGTCAAGAATACGCCGATTGATTTCAACACTTTTCTTTATTCTCTATAATGGAATACATACCAATGTTATACAACAATGCGTATTCTTGATGTTTTCCATTATTGAGATTAAAGAAAAGTGTTAAAAGAAATCTGCGTATTCTTGACTATTTTAACGGAAAACATTTACAAAATGTGTCATTTATCAGACTGTGTAGTACAAGACAACTTGAAAAAGAACCCATGACAAATGTTTTTTGTTTGTTTGTTTTGGGTTTTACGTCACATCGACACAGTAAAGGTCATATCGCGACGTTCCGGCTTTACTGGTGGAGGAAGAACTCAGGTGCCCTTCCGAGCATTTTTTCAGGCACGAACGGGCACCTGAGTAGAACCACCGACGTTCCGTAAGCTAGCTGGATAGCTTCCTCACATGAAAGAATCCAAAGTCCCTGTCGGGATTCGAACCCACAGCGGTGAGGGGCAAGTGGTTTGGAGTCAACGCCATGACAAATGTAATTGACACATGTGTATAAGGATATGTAATACCATGTTGATATCTTTCAGAATTTTAACGCATATATCATTTAGTTTATACATTTCCTAACTTGTGATTCCGCATCAAGAGACACAACCTTGGAAGCAAGTTTAAACTTCAATTGCAGTGAAAAATACAATAGAAAAAATAATATAATATAGCCAAAACAAATTTATGAAGAAATTTTAAAAAAGCATATGAGTACCTAAATTGAAAAAAGAGAATATTCATTAATGTCCAACAGAGTGGATGGCGCATGCGCGAAATCATACCTCCTTAAATTATAATATTAATATATTTTGTTAGGGAGCGTTTTATTTCCTTTCATACATAGTAAATTGTGTTAATTTAAAGACGTACTGTTTGCTATTTGAACATAAGAATATTATTTCCTGGTGTTATGAAGATATTCTATTTGAAAATTACACAGCTGTTTCTCATAAGAATCAAAATTTTACTTCTGTAATTGCCAATAAATAATTACTGCAGCATTATTATAACAACATGTCTTTTTCACCACAAAGATCTCATCATTTGTGAATTATTTCATGGCATATTTGTATAAGTAATTTACTGTTTATTTCATGTATGTTATTTTGTAAGATTAATTTAAACTATTGCCATTGTTAAGTAGCTCATATGTCTTAGCAAATGTAATCACATAAAACTCAATTATTTAATAACATATATCTTTGACTGTAACTTGTTCAAGCTTTGAAAAAGAAAATTGGTTATAAAAATTTTAATTTTAAATGATTTGTAAAAAACATAAGTCCCCAAAACCCAAATAAACCAAAAAAGGGGAAAATTTAAAAATTTTTAAAAATTTCTGTGTGGCCCCAAAAAAAGCCCAAAATATTTGTCGTTCCCCGTAAAACCAAATTTTAAAAGCAAAAAGATTGAAATTACATAAGTTGTCTAGAATAAAACGTAATATATACACACAATAAATGATTTTTTTATAAACAGGCAATAATGCTTACGATTTTCACAATGGAAATCACCTGAATGCGAAAGGAATATAATTGCAATATAACAAAAAACATCTTTAAAAAAATTATTAAGGTTTCTAAATTACTCAAACGCTAATTCTGAATCGTATTACATTAATAACTATAAAAAAAACTTTTCTACTGATTGCCCTTTTTTACCATTAATTGTTGTATACTAAATGATGATACATTTGAGTTACACGTAATTACATAACATCAATTGGCATAACAAAGTTCCCTACATGAAAAAAAAAATAATTAAAAACAAAATATTATCTGTACAATTTTGTATTCTTAGTTAATGTATGCAAATTTTACTCTGACATATTTTAATATTTTTATCTTAAACAAACATTTTGAAAATAATTTAGTTTTCGTCGCAATGTATGTTTTCAAAGTTAGATAAAGCATTCAATGATTTAATATTACATTTTAGGTTTTTCAAATTAAAATATATATTCTTTATAACAATTTTTGAGTTATTAACACGGTAAAAATGATTAAAATCCGACTCACCTCGTATTCCTTTCTTTGTTCAAACGTTGTAAAAGATACTTCTGTAAGAAAGAAATCTTCAATACCTACGCTATATATACAGTCGTCACGGAATGTCACATCGCGTTGTCAATCAGATTCAATCACGTCTTTTCCTTGGCAAGTTTTCATTGGCTTCTTTGCAAATCAATTGGATTTTCTTGCCTCTGCTAGCAAAATTCCTCCTAGAGACATACGGATTTGATATTGTTACCAATATAAGCATTGGTATAGTTGCATATTATTCAATGTTTGAAAGATGTGATATTTTTTATAATTGAGTGTTTTGCGTTGCAACGAATATGAATTTAAATCTACTCTAACGCAATACTTTACAAGATCGTTTTGCAAACGGTTAAAGATATTATTTCACAAATTTCAAGAGAGTTAGTTTGGCCAATTTTTTCAGACCCTGATTCAGTAATGGAGGAACACTTCACAGGGTTTTGTACGTAACTTTGTGATATATATTAGGCAGAGATGCGTGAAAGTAAATAACGTTTCATTTTTTTATAATAAAAAATATTTGGAGAGTCAAATGCGTCAATTTATATACAATGTATGTTGTAAATTTCAACAATAATGTTTTTTGTTTGCTATTGCTACAGCTTCTGTTGTCATTTTTTTTTTGGGGGGACGGGGGGGGGGGGATTTTAATTATCAGAAGAAAGTGAAGTTACCGGATGTCCTTCATTTTCAATTTTCTTTTCAAAGTTCACACATTAATGATTATAATTAACAGTTTTATATTCAATATGTCATCGCTAACGTCAATAGTGCGAGGATTGTCAAAATCAATATCAGCATTTAATTCTACAATTCATCACGTTGTCTTTCTGTGTTTAAAGTATGCTCATCCTCGAGTACAATATTTGATCACAGAAATTTATTGAAATCTAAAATATCCTTCCTGAATATGTCTTACTTGATTAAAAGAATGTATTGAAAGATGCGTACCTATTAGAGGACAAGAAAATTTAAATAACTGCCGGTTTTTTTAATGACACAATATATTCATATTGTGACCACCTTTAATGTGTACTATTTTAAACATATCATATCTACTTTGTATCAAAGCATGTTTGTTTTATATTTACAAAGAGACTGTGTGTATGTGTGTAGCAATTATCAATATTTTCGAATATCTTATTATGCATAGTATACTTTTAAGTGGAGTTTTATAAATTATACATGTGTGTATATATGTGCACTTTACAGTTTATCAGTCGATTAGAACAAAGGAACCCTTGTAGATTATGCTAAGCATCTGATCAATGATAAGTTGTCATGTGATATAAGTTTTCTCCAATATTTCAAAATTGTTATTTTTCGAAATACATTAAAAGGGATTCTACCTTGCTCCCCATAAACGGCTGATAAATTTGTATTACATTATCCAAGACACAAACCTGGCAGACATCTGAATTTCAAGAAACGTGTCAGTCCCTTTGCTAAAATTACTTTATTTCAATATTTGATTTCAAAAACATTCCATAAGGAAATATTTTCAAAATTTGAAAGCATAGAAGCATTTGAGAACTGTTATGAATTTCACAACATTCTGTCTAACAGGCAGAATCAATAGTACCCAGTGGTGCTGACAAAACAAAACTTAATTACAACAGTGTTAATTAAACACCTTTGTCATCATCTTTAAACTGTGCCGATACTTGTTATTCTTTTCCGCATGTTATAGCAAGATTTTTTGTGTTATTTTTTTTAAAGGAAAAAAAGAAAGAAAATATAAGCCTAAAAATTTATATTCATATTAGGCAAATTCATCCTGTGAATACTTTGCACATTTTGATGTAAAAACATCAATTAAGCATAGAATGATTTCCGCCAATGAAAACGGCAAACAAATATTTATAACAATCCTTTTTTATTTTGATAATACCAAAAACGTGTTGTGATTTTTATTTGTAAATAATTTATTGTATCTATTTATTTTAAGAATATTTGGATTTCAGGCACAAATATCTTTAATTACTGAATCTAACACTGCATCTGAACAATATGCACCAGATAAATTTTGATGGGTGGCTTGCAGGTGTGGCCTGGTAATGTCGGGTGTTACATTCTGTACACGTCGCCTTACCTTGTTGGAAAAATTTCATAATCATTTTACTATATTGCCCATAACAATATAACAATACGCAACAAAATGGCGAAACTTCGTGACCATTTTATTTGTTTCATGGGGTAACCGCATGCGTACTTCTCTTTTTTTACAGTTTTTTACACTTACAAGGTAGTGACGTACAATACCGATATGACATTTAGAACAATATAGTATCAACTATTTGGTCTCTATTCGATAAAGGTAAAATATACAGTATGTTACATGGTTATAACGATAAAGTTCAACTTCGTGATTACAAATGAAAATAAAGAAGAAGAAAAGAATAATTCAACTAATGTGAACATTCTTTACGATAAAAGTTGATTAAAAAGTGTACTTTGTGCTGATGCGTTTGTTATGTGTGGTTCATGTACAACTTAAATGATCACTTAAGCCCATTCCATTTATAATAGAACGGTGGAAAATTTTGACAAAACTTCTTGAAATATTTACTGCCATGCAGTTGATTATTAAGTTAACATATCAACAAATTGATATTAGCTTTCATAAAAAGTCACATGGGCTAAAAAAATTAGCTTATTGAGAGAAATCTTTAGAATTTTTGTAAACTTTTAGGATTCAATATGGAAACGAGAAAATGTAAATGCTTTCCTTTTATTTTATGCAAATAATCACTGATCTTGTACCATCATATGAAAATGATTGTGCTCAAATCAATGACATTTGAAATTTCCTGGGAAATATGTGGTTACAGTCTTAAAAATAAAGCCAAGAGCAAGAACAATATAAACAAGAAGTATTTAAAAAAAATACTCGGCCGAAGCAAAACTGGTAAATTTGTTTTTCTTATGTTTTTACTAAGTTTTCGATACAATAGAAATGTTAGCAATGCTTGGATTACACTTTTGTGAAGTTTCACTGCTTTTCCCTCAGCGGTTTTGGAGATGAAGCGCGGACAAGATTACCGAACGGGCGGACGGACAGAAGGGCTGACAGTGCGATAACTATGTGCCGCCCTTCTCGGGCATAGTACATGTAAAATTAATATTTTCAAGATGAAATATTTTTCTTATAAATCAAAGTAGCTGTACCATTTACTTCTGACAAAGGCGCAGTAGGCTTAAATATTAACTGTGAAAAGTATTTAGATTATCATCTTAGAAGAACGCAGGTAAATCAACAAAAATATTTTTTAATTAAATAATACATCATTATCTTTTGTAACATAATTGGTCAAAAGATTCGATAAATAAGTTTGTGTTATGAGTTATAGTATGTTTATAGCTTAGCTTTTGAAAAGGAACACTAATTTTTATATTATACTACATATGTCAAAATTGTCCATGTCTTGTGACGCTTTCCAGGCATTCATGATACATCTATAAATCATTCATTGGTTGGTTTAATTCTTTATTTCCGTCTATCGGGTGACAATACAAGACACACCTTCAAATGTAATCACCATCTCACTTATAAAGATATACATGTTTACAATAGTTAATAAATGCTTGCGGTGATCATTATTACAGTAGTCGATATATAAATGTATGTAAGGTGGTAGAAATAGCAGTAACAGTAGTTGTACTGTTAATTAACATCAGAACCTAAAACGGCTGGTTATAAGTGGTTACAACCGGTTTATTCACAAGCCGCACTAACCCCATAAAGGTAAAGATACACTTATATTACCAAGGAATACATAATAAGTTTGAAAACTGACATCTCGTTACTATATCTAATACATGTACTAATTGGTACAAATTTATTTAATATGATCAAAACTATAGAGTATGAGCTGGAAATGGAAAAGGTTACCCCCTCTGGGTATTTTATGGGACCCATGTAGTTTTAAAGATAAACATATAGGAAGACATTTGCAAGTTGTTGTCTGACTGAAACGTTTACCATTAAGACACAAGCCAATGTGAATTATCTGCCCCTGTCACAATTTTTTAATAAACAGCCTAACAGAATAACCATTAAATTTTTTAACCAAATGAATTGTTATGTAGTCGGTTTTTGTTTTAGATCATAGACAAGGTCTCCAAAATGATTTACTTCATAATTAATTGATGTCATTACTTTTCAAAATGGCCGCCAAATTCAAAATGGCCGCCATTTTCCTCTTATTTTATTAACATTTTAATATAAATTTTGTGGTTTTGTTTTAAAAAAAGCAAAACATCACTTAATCATAAAAGTTGTTTGTATAAATGTTATAGAAGTTAAATAGACTTTTTGTTGTTCAATTTGGGTTAATGATAATGCTATTTAAGAATATAAATTACCCCCCCCCCCCTTCCAATGTTTTGCAATACAGCTTTTTAGTCACATATTAATTATTACTCGAAATCTTCTTCGAAAATAAAATTACATCAATATAAATTTCCATCTCAATTTCCTCTAGATCACCTTCTTCATTTTAAACATCTTCTAACACTTCACTAGCATTTTTATTACCTATGACTTCAATTAATCCTGGTGGTAGTATATTTTCCTCTGTCCAGGTAAAATGTATATGTGAGACCTCTGGTTGTACCAGTATATCGACCATATCTATCAGGACTAGGAATAGTTGGGAATTGACAAAAGGCATTTCACCACACATATACTTGGTAATTTGATCTAAAAATATGCATCTTTAATGTGGAAAAGTATGGTGGTATTGAACGCAAGTCAATAACATAGGTAATTGTAAGTATGTCTGCATTTGGTCTAAAAATTTGTCTGAAAATGTCAACGCGCAACTTATTTATGTCACTTTATTTGTCTTTCCTTTATAAAATGCAAACAAACTGTTCTAGAATTTTGAAACCTCATATCAACACTCTTGCCCATTCTCTTGAAGACTGGTTATAAGTATATATTCAGGATGTATATAAAAAAATGTTTACGGCTTTAATTTTCCCCCTCGTGAAAAAGGGCTCGTGGTTTCACATCCGGTGAAACTATGTAGCCTAATCAATGCTTTGCAAAGATCTTCTCCTTGTCTATCAATGAGTTTATTTACTTTCAACAGTCTTCTA